GCTGTATGAGCAACAGTGCTGCCACCTTGCCTCATCACTGCTTGTTTTTCTCACACCAAACAACATGAGCACAGGGAAGATTGACGGTCATTTGTTGCTCACCTTTTATCTCCTCATGACCCGAATGTTGATCATTCTCGATTTCTTTCTTGGCCTCTGCAACCAAATGTGAATCCGGTTTAGATTGGTAAACGAAAAAAACAACACCAACACACTCGTTTTGTAATTAGTTTGATATCTTCATTAATTATCTGAATCACGCAGTCCGTTCCAATCATCGGTCGATGAAACCGTGCGATCTGTCACGAATCTTTTTTTCCCCGAGCGAGTGTACGTGAATAAACTCAATCACCACTGGGTTGTGAGCTAGTTTGCATAGTGGCTCCACGTATGCAGTCCTTGCTGAATGGACTGATCGGTATAATCTACCGCTAATCTTTAATACGAGTTTACAATAATGTTGTGGGATTAGGATAAAAGTTTTCTTTTGAGGGGGGGGGGGTTGCTCAGTCATATGAAATCTCGATAAACCGATGCCAGTTGCCACAATCCAGTGAGATCCCTTTCGCTCCATCTGTCGCATTGTTTGAACATCCCGATTGATTGTGCTTTTTAAACTGGACCGAGTTTCGAAACTGACCGTTGTCAATCAACAAATCGGATATCTTAATGTGTGCCCTACACATTGATCCGGTCAATTGGAGTTCACTTTAGATGGTCGATTTCCTATTCAAATAGACTAGCTAACTAAGGTCAGTATACAACATCATCGATGCACCAATCCGCTCGTTATGCACTTGATGGGGATGGTCAATTCTTTCAGTTCCCTGTGGTAGTCATTTTTGATTGATCACTTTCAGAAGCTGGCCTCACAGTCAGCTGATCAACCAGTTGCAATCCCTCTAGTCCAGAGTAGTTATCATTATGCCATTTCAACCAGGTCTTTCTAGTTCGTTTGTATATGTTGCAAAACACGGACTGCTCGATCGGTGCCTCATTCCGACAACCTATCCAGCACTGGCTTCGGAACTCATACCCACATATTGAAAATACTCTTGATGTCCACCGAAATGAGAGTGATTCGCTTGTTTTGCTTACCTTGGTGGTCGGACTCCTCACTGGCGGAATTTCGTCTACTGCCCGCGGTCGTGGCCGGTTCAACCACGTATTCGGTTATATCTAGGTAACCAAAACGAGGCGAAGAAAGGAGGGGGTAGGGAGGATAAATGTAAAAAAAATACCGGATGAGTGATAGGCAATGCATCATTCTCGAACTGTTGCTTTCATTTTGTTTGACCAAGTATTTGTCTCGACACGGAGACAATGG